TAGACTGATTGGTAACTCTAAATTGTCCCTAGGTGTGAGAGAGAGAGTGAATGGTTGTTTGTCTCTATGTGTCTCTGTGATGGACTGGAGACCTGTCCAGACTGTCCCCCATCTCTCGCACAGTGCAGCTGGACATGGGCACCAGTGACCCCAGTAATCCGAAAAGGAATAAGTGGGCAAAGACGATGGATGATTCTTTGTGAAGATTTTCATAATTTTGTAGTGAATGCAGGGACAGCTTTGCTGTAGCTTCACTGCTAATTAATTATTATTAAAGCTAGTTCAAGCACAAAGAATATTAATTGTTTAATTACAACGGATTCTTTCTTTTTCGAGTTAAATTATTGTTTTGTGACGAGATAACTGTGAGGATTGTTTAATCAGTGACATGAGACGCCATTTTATCAATCAACCTTTATTTATACAGGTAAATCCCATTGAGCCTCGAGGACTCATTTACAAGAGAGACCTGATAAATCTTTATCTTTGACCCATCAGAATAAATGTGGTCATTTATTTAACAGAATCAAAACTTAACATCAAAACATGTACACATTGATTTGCTGATCTGTTTCTGATTAATAAAAACTTGGCACGCTTTACTAACAAGACAACAGAACATTACTGATGGAGGCATCTAGATTACTGGCAAAATAGAAAAGTTTAAGGGAAGGAATGGAGAAGTTTAAAAGTAAGATGGATGAGGGAAGATGTATGTTTGTTGACCAGAATTAGCACGCTTCTTTCAACACCAGCTCAAACCCCCGGTACACTCGGTGCGTGATGACTCATGACGTCTCTTTACCTTTGCAGATGATGGATCAGCTCCAGTATAGATGTCCCTATGCACGCTACCTTTACAACGTCTCCGGTCAGGGTGGCTGGTCATCGTCAGAAGTCGTGTGGTTTACTCCATTCAACAGAACAAGCTTCCTTCGAAGTTGTAGGGCGTTACGCCCGGGTGAGTTCACAGCGAGGTGCTGTGACTCCAGCTGGGATGGACGGACCCTCGTCTCATGGTCAAATCCATCAACTATTGATTAAATCTGAAAGTTCCTTAGGAACTCTCAGGAAGACTCCAGGAAGACTGAAGAAGACTGAGTCCGAATTTCCACTCAGAAGTGGAAGACTCTGGTGAAAGACCCAAAAAGACTGAATAGTTCCAGGAAGTGTTGACTTTTAAAGAGTACTCACTTCCGGTCACTTGGTACTTCCTGACTGGTTGAAACAACCAACAGGGGCGGTGTTTCAGTGATGTCAGAGGGTAATTAGGAGTCAAAAAGACAGCAGGAATGTTTAGGATCGTTTAGTACAGACAGAGGAATGTTATGGTGAAGTGAGACAAACGCAGATGCTAGCTTCTTATTTACCGTCTGCTAGGTTTAAAAACAAGACACTTCGTTCTAATAACTTGTCTCTGTCTGTCTCTGACTTTCGACCGACATCACTACTCCTCATTCAGACAGAGGATCAAAATGCATAATTACTTTGTAAATAGACATTTAACTTGATTTCTAATTCTAATGAGGTTTAAAAATCATTAATACTGTTTCACAGTTGATTTAAAATGAGTGGTTCACTTCAACATTTAGAAATGGTATGAACAAAACACACTTTGATTATCAAGACATTCTAAAATAGTAATGATAATGTAAAAAAGAGAGTGTTCTTTCAATTGATTAATTCAGGATACAACTAAATAGTCTCTTGATGAGATAATATGTATTTCTGGATTCAAATCAATGAAATAACAGTTCCTGTCCCGTGAAGGTCTTCAGAGGCAGGTTGTTGTCGGAGGTCTAGTTCACTACAATTTAATACAACTTCATCTCATACATAGACTTTTTTAATGCCTGAATGATTTATAGATTTATAACAGTTTAACAAACAAACAATCTTCTGAAAAAGATCTGGTACTGGACTAAAATGAAGTTTAAAACAAACAAATATAAAAAACAAACAAAGCAACAATAAAACCCTTTAAAGTCCTTAGATTGCATAAAAACTTTATCAAAAGATCACAACATGTCTGTCTGTTAAATATAAAGATACAAGCGATGAGAG